AAACTAAATAATATATATATATATATATATATATATATATATATATATATATATATATATTACCAGTTTCGAAGTTTCAGCTCTTTTTGTCTTTTGTACACACGATCATGTTCGATAATTTTGATCTCTGGTGTGACACTTCCGTACATCAATTTAAATTTAGGAAAAAAAAAGAAAATTTGCTACTTTGCAATTTCACAGTATGCTCACAGCACATGGATCCGAAAATACTGCAATAGAATACATGTACACACATAATTATGCAGAAATTTGTATAAATAAATGTACTTGTGTGTAATTATATTCCTTTGGTATCGGACAATTTATTAATTCGGGACAATGTAGGATACTTGATGCGCTAAATCTATACACCAAGTATTATTCATTCTTCTTCGTTTGATCGTCTTTCGGGCGATCTTTTATGGCCGCCTGTTTCTTGCCTTCCTCCAGTTGCGCTTCCATCTCTCCGGAGAAACCGAATTCATTCACTCTAGTATGATCGGTCTTATATATCCATCTTTGGTACAAAAATATGAAGAAAACAATATCGTCGCGGAAGCAACCGATCCTATACAAGGTCGGCATCTTTATCACAAATGCAAAAATATCGTCGATGAATGTGTTTAGGAATTTGTAGGACAGCATACGCCATGGAAGATGCGCAACACTCTTCAATTTGTAATTAATAAATAGCTGCGGTGTCATCATTATGAATCCAAAAGTCAATAGAAATCCATACAACATGCTGAGAATCCAAGAATACCATCCTTTATGCTCCAAGTACATTAAAGAATAAATTGCGTATCCTCCTAACAGAGGGTACAAAGCCCATGAGAGATATTTGAAGGCAAGTCTATCATATTCTTTCGTAGAAGACTCCACGTATGACCCTTTATCTTGGAATGATATCTTTGGAAAGATCCCAAGTATTCTCACTTCTCTATTAACTTTAATGTCTATAACTTTGTTAATCTTCCACACTTCAATACACAAACCTATTGCGCAACTAATGCGCACGACCGTATTCGTTTCGTTATCCAGGACGTAAAGGAGAACAATGAGAGATTGGAATACATTGAAAAATACAGAGCGCACAGACAAACCTTCCAAGGATTTTCGATTATTCCAGAATTGGATATCTAAAACAAATAGAAACAACTTATTGATAGCGCTGTGTAATGTGTTAAAATGTTAAATATTTGTTTTAAAAGCTTACCGTTTTTAAATGCTAAAAATTCAAATACACTGTGTAAAATTGACACAGCTATAGTTAATCCTAGTAGATATGGATTTGTTTCAAGTAAAGTTTCTTTTAGGGTATCTTGATCGTTATCATCTTCATCAGATGCTTCTCCTATACAAACAAGATGATGAGTGATGATTACGATTTTTGACGTGGAAAAATTTTGTAACATCTTAAACTCTATTATTTCCGAAATATAACAAACCCATAAGCGACGATGTCCATTTATTTCTCACAGATTGAGCTGCATAAATTTGCCACTTGAATAATGAAATGGGCTGATAAGTCAATCTAAGCTCTAATTGTTCTATAGTGTTATTTAAGGGTTGATAGTCCCGTTGCATATTCCAAAAGTCATTCGTGTATATTATTGGTTTATACATATTTCCACCAGGTAAGAAGTGTATATCTAAAAACAAAAAAAGAAATATATTTATAACAATATGTGTAACATTATTTTATTTTTATACAATCTGCGCGCGCGCGCGTTTAATTTTCTTTCTTTTTTTATATCAAACATAAGATAACTTGTTAAAATGTAACAAATTTTGATGTTGCGACATATAGTTCTGCAAAAACCAAAGTCTTATTTTTCTATTTCCACCGTATGCGATACATGTAGACATATGCCTACATATTTTGAATTTTTCTTAGTAACATACAACATTGAAGATTAAAACAAAATATAAACTTACATTCATCCAATGGCTGTGGTACTTGACCATACATCCAATTAGTTTGATCTACAACTAAATTAACAGTCAAGTTTGGATGCCAGTGCGACACATATTCTTGATCCATTAATTCAGCTTTCTGTAAAATTTTATATATTTAATAAATAAATCATAAAATAAATTAAAAAATTAAATAACATATGTACATACTGCTATTTCTTCTTTACTAGCTGTACTTTCACCAGTTAACAAATTATGTCTCTTCTGATATTTAATTTTCTTGAACTTGTTCAACATCTTTCTTGAGTAGGATATATAGTCGCCAGCGTAACCTCCTTTGCCAGCTTTGGGATTTGGTGATTTTCCACTTTTTGTTATGTAAACATGAAGATAGATAGAACCATTTTGTTTTAAATGTTCTGAGGGAGCAAACGAGTATTCAAGAACTCTGGATCCATCTTGATTTGATCCACTATACCAATCCCCATATATCAGTCCTTCTTCGAACCAAATTAAAGATCGTGGATCGTCAAATTGCTTGAATTTCTCAGACTCCGACAGATAAACACTAAGATCAAATAACGTTCCATTTGGAAATATATTTACAGCTTGTAAGCGTGTATCACTAACGGTGTTGGGAGACTTGGGATTATTATCAGGACGTCTAAAGAAGCTACTAATAAAATAAATTATTAGGGCTCGTATGATTAATGATTTTGTTACGGCAAACAATGATTCTAAGCGTGACGGCTGAGCCTTCCTCCTTTGCTCATCATTTTCTGCATTTGCCTGTAAGAAATATCATCAAATTACAATCACATTCTGACAAAGTATTTTAGTATATATATTCCTGACCATGACGATTTTCAAATAAATTTTAATATCGATAGCTCTGCTCGCACGTATGATATCATACATACATTATTATTCACAAAAAAATTGTAAATTAAACTTTATTCTCAATATAGTTATTTTCAATACATTTCCTTCCGAGAAAGGCACAAGAAATAAATGATAAATATACAGTATACAAACTTTACGCACATTTGTCTCGTCATTATTTTGTTCAGTTCTCGGAACTAGTTCACCGTTCGGTTGATTGTTATCCATGTTTTCTGTGACATCTACTTCCGCGTTATCACGACAATCCTCTTCAGCACAGTCCACCATTTTTCCGTTGGGTCCCGTGAGTTTTGTTCGGGCATAAACAAAGAATAGATGTAGATAGATAGTGCTTAAAAACTTTATTTCGTACCTCATACGCCTCAACGCCCAATAGTAGATTCTTCGTTATGGAGGATTCACACTGCGTCCGATGTCCGACGTATGACGTCCAATATCCAATAACAGAGCTTGTTTTCTAGGAATTCTAGCTAGAATTCTCCATATGCACGGATATATTTTGTAAGTTTTCCAGCAAAGGACACAAGTTGACACAAATCGACACAAGTATCACTCTGTCTTTGTTCGATATTCAATGAGCAACAGAGAGAATAATACTTTTGTGTCGCTTGTGTCTCTTGGTGGAAAACTACCTTTATTGTCTTCTTTCCAAGTTCCGTTAATTACGTGTTACATGAAAATAAACCCACTTGTGAACGCATCTTGCGGTGAAACTGACATATTTCCCGCGTATAGTGTTGCGCCGCGCTTAATAAACAATCTCTCTCTCCTACGCTGTTTAATATTTTACGCATTTCTCACTATTGTATTAATGTCAGCGTAACATGAACATAGTAAACGCCATCCAGAGACGAGAGGGAGGATTTGGTAAATATACAATATTGCAAACATGTTATGAAATATTTAAATAAATCTATTTTGCGTAAAAGGTTATCTACACTGAAAATTAGCTAATTAAATTGATTGTTCTCGGGAAAGATTGGAATTACATCTCATTAAAACGTAGTAGTTTTCTTACAATCGATTTCTCATTACATTTTAATGTACGGTGAAACTTTTTATTTGACATCTAATGTCCATTACAGAGTCAGTACACAATTATGACATTGCTCTTTCCCGTTTGAAATGTTACCACGACGATGTATATTATGGAATAACACCGAATATCAATGCGGCTGATTTTAATCCCGCGCCACCGGTGTTTGCATGTCGTTTTTGTACCACACCAGGATATGAGGAAATTATTGCTTTGGCGAATGAGGATGGAAAGATTGCTCTTCAAAATACAAGAATTAAAGGGAAAAATGATGAACCATTGGAAGGAACACAGGTTACTGCTTTTTCTTAATTTGACAAGTTTAACAAGAGATAATTAATCAGAAATATGTGTTCTTTTAGGCGCATTGCAATGCAATATTTGATCTTGCATGGATGCCTGGAGAGTTGAAGCTGGTTACAGCATCAGGAGATCATACAGCCCGTCTATGGGATGTTTCGAGATCTGAAGTAGAACAAATTGATTGCTTTCACGCACATACACGGAGTGTAAAGACAGCAGTATTTCGTTATCAGGACAAAGGTAATTTGCACATTGTTCACAAAAATCTATAAACATATACACGATTCTATTTATTTTTCTTTTTTAATTGGCATATTAAATATATCTTTTTTTTTATGGAAGAAAGATAAAAGTATGTCTTGACACTTTTTAGTTTATTTTGCTTTTATAATTTACTTTCTTTGAGTTATCAACAACTAGATACTTTTCCGCTTAAAAAGATTTGCAAAAAGAAATCACTGCAAAGTATTATGCAACTCAGAATTTTATAATCTTAAAATTTTAGCGGTATTTGCAACGGGTGCTAGAGATGGCTCTATTATGATGTGGGATATTAGAGCCAACCACACAGATCAACGTAGGCCGGATAATTGCATTGTCAATGCACACAGTGCTGGCAATACAAGCAATAGAAGACGAAAGGCATCTAATCAAATATCACGAATGCAAAGTATTACCGGTTTAGTCTTCCAAGACGATTTCACGTTAATCTCGTGTGCTGCAGGCGATGGGTAAGATTTTTATATCTATACATATTTTGCAGGAGTATACAATATATATATATTTTTTGTGTGTTTTAGTTTAATAAAAGTGTGGGATTTACGCAAGAATTACGCAGTTCACAAAAAAGAACCGATAGCTAAGCATCTAATAAATTTCACAGGCACTGGTATTAAGAACGGCTTTTCTTCATTGTTAATATGTCCAGCTAGGATTACATTATACGCAAGTTGTATGGATAGTACTATATATGCTTATAACATATCATCCTATAATCGCAAACCAGGTAAATAATATTTTTTTCTCAAATTTGATACATTTATGTTAGCATTAAAATAAAGTAATGAAAATTTTTCTGTGACAGTGGCGAAGTATCATGGTCATCAAAATTTTACATATTATGTAAAGACTTGTTTGAGTTCTGATGGTCGCTATCTTGCCAGTGGATCTAGTAATAATTATGCGTACATTTGGCGCACAAACAAACCTGGTGGACCACTAGTTAAACTTTACGGTCACACACAAGAAGTGACTTGTATTGCGTGGTGCAATGTCGGCGAAACTAAGGTTTAAATATTTATGTACAAGTCTCTGTTTTATGTCATAAAAGAATTAAGATAACGATATGTTGTCTCAAGCTCACCATTTGACATACACAATTTTAGAAATTATAATGTAGATGTTTGTAGAGTTAAAATTGTTTAATTGCAAAATTAATTTCAGATAGTAACTTGCTCCGATGATTCTCGCCACAGAATATGGAGAGTTGGATTCGAACATAAAGTGGAGAATGAAGAAGTGACAATACGCGGGAGTGCTAAGTTTGCAGTGGATAATATTAATTTGAATTTAAAACTTGTCTCGCTTTCTTCAACCTCAATTACTAATCGGGAAGTTGCACTGCACTCTAGCATAACACCGGGTAAGAATAAAATGTTATAACACAATTAGTTGTACGTAGATAAGTGAAGAAAACAAAAATTTGAGAAGTTATACATTTATAAAATTTTTGAGGAAGAAATTTAAAATTTTGAGTAATTTAAAGAAACCTGTAACTGTACCACGTAATAGAACTTTTTTGCTTTTATCTCTTGATATATCACGGTAAAATACAATCACATGGCGTTAAAATTGATTAAAGAACAATATTTAAATTCTTTTCTTATACGTCTTTTAAACATAATTTTTGAATTATGTATCTTTACACAAATGTTTGAACTTTATTTACGACAGGAGTTACGACCCCTGAGCCTACCAACGAAGATATAATGCCTGAACCTAGCAACAAGGATGCAATGCCTGAGCCTAGCAATGAAGATGCAATGCTGAAGTCTGGCAATGAGAATGATATTAGCTATTACAAGCCCAATAATTCCAAACGTAGTCATCTTCAAATGATGATAGGATCAAGACTTGAGGGAAAATACAAGTCTATTTTATCTCCTATTTACGAAAATCACGAAACAATTGCGAAACGGACTTGCACGGACAATCATGATACGCAAAGGCTATTTAATCCGAATGCCGAAGCCATTACCAGTACGAGTGTAGATTATGATTCGGACGAGCATAGTATAGGCCAATCTACGTACACAAGCAAAGATGACGGAATTCTTTTTTCGCCTACGTCAAACTTACCAAATTTCGTGATAGACGGTACAGCGCCACATTTGCTTGAAATATCGCCACAAAAGTACAAAGAAAACGTCGATTGGCTGACAAAAATGAGGAAGGAAAGATATGAACAGAGAAAAGCTACCGTAAATTCAAGCAGCCCCCAGAATCAAACGACACCTTCACGAAGAATGAATAAATTGCGATCGACCGAATCTCAAAAAGTAACAAAAACGATAAAAGGCACCTCTCTCCTGAATTTTTTCAAAGCCATCAATAAAGATCGCGAAAAGAGTCCTCGTTCGGAAAATAGTAATATTATACCTTCGACGAGTATATCCTAATGTTAAACAGAATATATATACGCGCGCGCGCGCACACACACGCACACACATACACACACACCGGCGGATCCTGATGTCGATGGGGGGGGGGGGGGATTCCGACCTACTTTAATGCATTTTTACCAAGTATTTTTGAACAGATCCAGCAAAATTG